CCCCAAAACCCCAAAACCCCAAAACCCCAAAACCCCTGACATAAAAATTAATTTAAATAGTATTAATTTTAGAATAAAATGGATTTTGAGTCGAGCTCAAATTTTGAGCAAATGTTTTCTTTCAGCACAAATTTCTCAGACCCTTTAGCGTTTCCAAGCCAGAGTGAGAAATCCAGATTCCTGGACATCCTTGACTCCCCAGAAAACAGCGATGATGAGCCTGAACAAGTCGTTGAAGAGCCTAAGAAAGCTGTTATTAAGCCAAAAGAGCCTGAGGAATCCAAATAACATCGGGTACTTTCCAACAAAAGTTGTATTAGCGAAGAATTTGCCTGCCAAAACTACCGAACTTGACCTCCACTCAGCCTGAGAATCTTTTGGTGTAGTCAAAAAGTGCTTTATTCTTATCCAAATTAATAATGCCTTCATCGAATTTGAAAATAAAGAAGCTGCCCAAAAATGAATAAACTCTAATAATAATGCCGATGGTCCGACTATTAAGGGGGAGAGAATAAAATTCTGCTTCACTGGTAGAGAGGAGATTGTGCTTGAAGGATCGGATCAAGAATTTAAGAATAACATCCTTCTCATTACTATTACAAATATTATGTTCCAGATAAACATTCACACCCTTGCTAGTGTCTTCTCGTATTATGGAAAAGTACTACGAGTTGTTATTTTTCACCGCATCCATGGTCTACAGGCCTTAGTAGAAATGGAGACTATAGAGCAGGCAGAAGCCTGTTTCAAAAATCTAAATAACACGGATTTGTATCCAAACGGTAACACTCTAAAAATCCAGTATTCCTCACAGACCAAATTGGAGATATCAAAGGACAGTAAAAACTCTATTGATTTCACGAAGACACCTTATCCTTCGGAGAGTGTCCCTTGTCTTAGCTCTGATAAGTTAATAACAAAACCCTGAATTCAGTCAGAATTTTCCTCTTTATCAATTAGCACACCTATTGATACAAGGAGTTATAGCAGCAATAATAGCTCGTATTATTACCAAAACTCGTATGGCCACGACCAGAATTACTATGCTGGGTACCCCCAGCATAGCTATTCAGAGCATGGGTACCCTGCTTCCCTCCCATCGAGCATGTATTATCCAGCTAAACCCGAAGGGAATTCCATGAATCAATACTCACCGAAGCCTACTTCGGTGAAGAAAGACAACAACATCTTGATAGCTTCTGGGTTTCCAGAAGATGTGACGCCATACAGAATCTTTCGGTTCTTCTCGCTCTATGGAAACGTCACCAAAGTGAAGATAATGTTCAAGAAAAGAGATACAGCTCTGATCCAGTACATGGACAATTACCAAGCTAAACTTGCAAAGTTGTACCTGAATGGATGCCCGTTCGGTGACAGCTACATCAAGGTTAATAATTCAAAGTCTCAGTACATAATAATGCCAAAGAAGGGGAGCAATTGTGAGGAGAGCATGCTTGCTCAAGATTTCTCACACTCGAAGGAGCATAGATATAAAATTGCGGGAAGTCGGAATTTCCAGAACATTGCTCCACCTTCGAAGGTACTTCACCTCTCAAACTTGCCTAAAGAGATCGACGAGCCAAAGCTGAAAAAGTTGTTGTCCAAAGTTGCCGATTTTGAAAAAATCAAATTCTTTGACGTTGCTGGCAAGGTGATGGCCCATGCTGAGTTCGACTCCATCAGCACCGCTATCGAGGTGATTATAGAGTTCCACAACTATAATATTGATGGGAGGTACCTCAAGCTTTCTTTTTCTAAAAATGTGTCAGATAATTTACAACAGTAAAGCCAAAAGAGAGTACCAGAATCAACAAAATTTCCCTCTTTAAATTATCTTATGCATTGATTTCAACCTTGAGTTGCACCTCTGGGGTTTTGGGGTTTTGGGGTTTTGGGGTTTTGGGG